TATTATTATTATAGACTTTAAAAAAAGAAGTAAAAGTTAGAAAAAGCAGGTTATACCCGAACTTTCAGACAATTATTTGATTCTGATTCCTATCGTAGATAATATCGGACCTAGATTTTAGGAACATACCTAAATCTACGTACCTTCCTAGCATCTAGCTACCTAGAATACCTTCTCTTTATAAGGACCGTAGTAGTAGAATCTATATACCTAGAATGTAGCTAACTAGTAATTAGCTAGCTAAATTACTTACTTATAAAGAGCCGATAGGTAAAAAGAATACTACCTATACCTACTAAAATATTAGATTCTGTAAGCTCATTACGATTAGTTAGTTAGGTATCTGACATTCAAAAAAATTGCGTATTCGAGTTGCTTTTTATCTGAAATACTGTGTCAAGTACAATAATACGACAAATTGTTTAACAGATAAAGTCTTATTAAGAAAAATCGTATTACAATCACCAAATAATTTATCTAGAAAAACGTTTTAATTTTAAATGTACAAATACTATCGACCGTATTTTTTATTATATACAGTAATATCTAATTTTAATACATTTGAGTTCTACTTACCTTTTGAAGAACAACGTAGTAATCCTAAATGACACTTTTTTTATGAGAGGTGTTTAAAAATTCTTGCAGATTCTTTTAAACAATTGTGTCACATCTCGAAATAAAGCAGTGTTCTAGATAAATGCGCACTAAAAATCTGTATTATTGTATAATATGATTATATTCCAGAAAACAAACCGAGTGTTCACTTTTAAAGGCAAGTTGCAACTGGCAATACAACGTTATCTTTGAAAAATGGCGCCCAAAATTGGCCAATAGGATACAGTCTTTCGGTAGCGCCACGCCGTAAAATATTGTTATAGAAATACGACCTTAACTGAGTATACAAAACAGATCATTTTACGTTGAATGGTGTTGAAAACTCAATTTTGTAGTATTTGGTAATAATACGCTATTGTTCCAAAGCAGCGATATACAGACAAAAGCAAAAATCGTATATGTATACATATAATACATATACGATTTTTGCATTGTATATAATGACTCTGACACTAATACTTGTCTAGTCGGCATACCACGAAAGCAAAAATATAGAAAATCCTTTTCACATTCACTTCTGAATATAAATCTTAACCAAGTGCGAACTATTCCTCAAGCGCTCGCATTATTGATTCCTCTTCAGCAACGAATGCCGTAAACATCTAAATGCTTATCATAATCCTTTGGGATCCTGTGCTATAGAAAAATGACGTTACATCTTTTCCATTTAAAAGGTTAAATTATTTATATTTTCAAATAAATAATTGGAGGCTTGAATAGAGTTAACGATATCTTTATGTAAAAAATATACTCTTATAGTTTTCGAAATGCCTATCATTAAATTATTACTATTATTGACAACCTATTGATATCGAGATTTGACCACCTATCACTGGCCATATCGCGTTTGACCAGTTGCCCGACTATAGTAAAGTAAGCCAATCGAATTTGAAGGGTAACTAAAGTACTATGTAAGCAGAAATGGGCAACAACCCGGGTTTTCTCCAACCGCAAACTAATAAAATGAAGTTTAATTAGTAATTATTTATATAATAAATAAAAGTTGGCCAAATTGTCAAATACGTTACTCTTTGCCATACTTTGAACGAGGATGATCTTGATTTTTCTGACCAAATCAAGAAATGGCGGAATATCGTGATATTACCAGGCAGATCTCGAGCGGCCCAATACAACAATTGGCCCTCGACATATATATGTATGAGCGAATGACATAAGTTAACTAGAACGTTATGTAACAAATCAAGGGTGAGGGTTGTTACAAACTACAAGTAGGTGATGTAACAACCATGATGGTCCGTTGCTGATTGATGATGATGGATGCTACTGACTGCATATGCCGCTGTAACCAACGTTTTAAAAAGACGCTGTCAGGAGGAGCTCAAAATGATACATTTTCAGTCTTATCTCATGGGCGCCCTTGCAAAAACTTCTTATTTTCCGTAATCTGAAACTGAACTTACTTACATTTGGACCTTTGAGTTCTTCGAATATATTAATTGGAAAGGATGGCTGACAACTAAACAAATATAATTAGATGAAACAAAAGTAAAATGTCACGTCACTAAAATATAATTGTATCTTAGCAATGTTGTACATTGTCATTGTGGCATGAAAAACTTCCACTTTACGTGTATAGTTAACTTAAGCACTAAATAATAACTTAATTCCTTTTCAAATAATTCCCATTTGAATTTAGAGACATATACTCTACTACTTATCCCCTTAAACCAATTTAGTACACTTACAAGCGCAAAAATAATATTTACTACTATTTTCTATTCATGAAAATACTCATTGCCATAGAGATTCTTATTTTCGTTTCGAGTGGGATAGCTACAGAGATTTTATGTCTGCGAAAACAATTATGTCTAGACACAACCCATAACAGTATTTAAATTTGCAATCGCTGTTTTTCGGTGTGAAATTTAAACTTTTAAATCTCCTCGCGTTGGGCAGGTTGTTGGTGAGCTCCCGCGATTATGGTGTCTTCTCAAATAAAAGCATTAGAATATTTTTTATTACTTCACTTATATTTTGTTTTGATTTTTGTATCATTCAAAATGAGTATCTCGGTGGCGTAGTGGATAAGCGCCGATCGTTGTCGTTAAGCAACTTTTAACAAGGGTCAGTCACTAGATGGGCGACCAAAAAATTATTATCTCGAGCTACTTCGTGCTTCGTAAGCCGTTGGTCTCGGCTGCATTTGCAGTCGTTAATACCCTCCAATTCGCATTGGGCCAGCGTGAAGGGTCATGACCCATTCTCCTTAACCATCCATAAGGAAGGCCGGAGCCCCTGCAGTGGGTACGTAAAAAGAGCTGATGATGATGATCATTCAAATCATCATTCGACCCAAATTCATTTGCGATTGCAACTTTAAAAGTAATATTATTTTATAAATAAATTATCATAGCTATACCTTTGAAAGTGGCTGCGATTATGAAATAAGACAATAGTAATCACCTCAAAAGTCTGGTCATTGTAGAATTTGAGCGTTTCTATATTATCTCGGGTAATGTGGTACGTACGCTGTTTCAGATTTCCATTACACAAGTGACTTAGCTCAATTTAGTATCTGAGCAATGTATGCGCTGTTGTCTAATTATATTCTGTCAATATCTTGTTATCAGAAATGTAAACTAAATTTCCTTATAAAATTTTATACAAAGATATAATGCTCAAAGAACCTGTTAAAAAGAACGAGTAAACTACATAATTAAAATTTATAAGAGTTTAGTCGTAAAATTAAAATGTGACGTTATAAAATTTTCTATAATATTATTCATGTTTATTTCAATGATGATTTCCGTTTTCCAATTTTTTTCTTATCTATAGAAAATATTGGTCTTAACTATACCTATCATTTTGTAGCCGAGAGCTTACTTGCACACTTGCTTATTTGAATTACTTGCACACCGCAAGTAATTCGGAGGACACAGTGGATGAATTCCCTTTACTTATTATTTCTCAATTTAAAAATAAAAATGATATTAAAACTGTTAACATAACAGAGCAGCATAAGCAACAACTGTCCTTTTAGCGAACCCATTAATATTCATTGGAAACTTTGCTTGTATGGCAACAAGGATTCCGTCTTAAACTTTGACGTGGGTATTCCGATTCTAACAACTGTATACACAGCTACACAGTGAACTCTCTTAAGCAATATTACAATTATTGTCTGTTTTCAAAACTTATGTTACTTGAATGGCAGAATTAATCTCGAGAAATCGTCAGCAGTACGTAACATTCATATTTCTTCGCGTCCCGCATATCGATTTTAATTAAGACAGATCATCCCTGCGATTCTGTAAAAATCCGTATTTCCTTCAAAATTCGTATTCACTTCAAAAAGTGTCAGCACAATCTTGAATTGCTAATAACGTTTCGTGAAGAGTGAAGTGAGTTTCGATATGACATGGGAATAGAATATCTGAGACACGTATAATCAATCTATTTTTTTTTTGTATTTTTATACAAAAAAGAACTGGAATCAATAGAATTTCTTTTCTAAATGAATTCGAGCACATGAGTGAATTCGAATTCGGGTCTGGATTTTTATAGAATCGCAGGGCAGATCAAGATAAAACAATGGTGTATTGAATGGCAAAAGCAGTGAAAATATCACTAATAAAAATAAAAAACACGCTTACCAAAATCGAACTAATTATGTAAGAAACAAGTTGTATTATGTATTGGCTAAACAAAATTATCATTGCATTTCTGTTTAGATATAAAAAGTTTTTGATAATATTTAAATGTCATCATATAGTCGCCATTTTGAATATTTTTTTGTAAAAACCGGCATTAGTGTTTTAATTTTAAGAGATAGATAAATAAAGCTATTGAAATAATTAACCAAATTTGATTACTCTTTATTTAAATATTCATTAGACTTATGTCTTAAGATCTTTAGTTTAGGCATTCGTATCTGCTATTTAATCAGGTATCTTAAAAAAAATCTTTGTTAACAACTATTTCTTTCAAAAGTAGATTCAAATTAAATTAAATCTAATTGATTTATGTTGTTTGGAACTATATTATAGAAGCGAACATATACGCTCCTAAATGATTTTTCCCTTTTATTGCATTAAAGTCTTGAAGAAGAGATCAGACTCACATAATGAATTATTGTATTAAAATCTCGAAGATGAGATAAGACTCCACCGCAACAAAATTCTACATAATGGTAATTAAAAAATGCACGCCAAATATGACTAAAACTTTCTAGACCATATGTAAACAAAATATGACATAATTATCCAATCCTATATTTAACTGTATTTAACTGATAAATGTTCTATTATTTGATTAACATCAACTCATATACAAATGTTTGCCTTAATTTCAAGATTGTACCGAGCAATCTTCCATTTGACTCTAATCGCTAGGAACATCCAATCACGTACATTAGTCACAATACCATGTCAACTGTCGAAGAGGAACCCTTGAAAAATGGCGACAATAAAATCAAAACTAAGCAAAAGAGAACTTTCAAGGAGAAAATCAAATATGTCAAAGAAAACATAACGTTAGAACCGACGCTAGCATGCTACGTTATCCCAAGAGTATTGTCAAGACTGGCTACACAGAACATGAATTTGGATAAAGCTTGTAGAGTGAATATGAAATATGGCAAAGTGGTATGCGATGCGCTGCTTGCTAGAAATGGCACTAAATACTTAAAAGAAGAATTGGAGATTCAAGAATTTATAGCGGCGATGGAGAGCTGGAAAAATATACTTTTGACTGCACTTCCTAGCTTGCTTATTCTATTTCTTGGCGCTTGGAGTGACCGCACAGGCAAAAGGAAGATATGTATCCTATTACCCATTATTGGGGAACTTCTGGTTTGTTTAAGTAGCATAATCAACGTATACTATTTCGAGGAGTTACCAGCGGAAGTGGCGATATTTTTCGAAGCGTTTTTTCCTGCCATCACGGGTAGTTGGATAGCAACCTACTTGGGAACATTCAGCTACATCGGTGATATTTCCAGTAAGGAGTCCAGGACTTTTAGAGTTGGTGTGGCAAATCTATGCCTCACCGCTGGTGCACCTATAGGTTCCGCTCTGAGTGGGATATTGTTAAACACGATTGGATACTATGGAGTGTTTGGTTTGAGTGCTTTGTTGAATTTGTTTAGTATAGTTTATGGTTTTTACTTTATAAAAGATCGTGTTAAACCTGCAACGGAAGAGAATGATAAGGTAATTACCCAAAATTTATTTTTGCGATAAATATAGAAGTATTTTTATCTTCTTATCTTTACCGTTATCTTTTTCTATAAATATTTTTTTTATATTTTAGACATCTCTATCCAAACGAGTTCCTTAACCCACTTAACAATTTTTTTTCCCGTATAATCATCTACTTCGCTTCGTCTATTTAAAGTCCCTTAGATTAACTTTTATTCATAATTTATAGAGAATAAGCTCAAACTTTTATTATCAGTAATCATATAAATTTCTTAATGAAAAATGCTTAAAAATCAACTTCCCTGTTACAAAGTGGATTGTTTAAGCATTTTCATTGAGACATTTTTTCCAGTATGGTATTGTGATTGCAAAATTGATCAAATATAATAATCAAATTATTTATATATATATAAATTAATTAACCATTATTTTGAAATCAAAATAATGGTTAATTTATTTATTACACTTCTGTTTTAAATTCATAATCTGTTAGCATAGAATAGCTAACAGACTTTTTATACAAATACAACATAAAACATGACAAAGGGTATGATGACAATTTTTTTGTCTGTCCATCAGATTATTTAAGAATATCAGTTGCTTTTTTTTTATTAGTAACCAATAAATTATGGCGATACATTAAGTAAAAAAATTCCATGACGTCACGCTTTTGTAGCGAGCGACCACTCCTTAATGTTATTATTATTACTTGTTAAATAGAATAAAAATTACGTATCTAAATTTTTTATATTTTCTGACTGATGGACTAAATAGTTTTTTTTCCTGAGCATCATCCCTCTATATAAAAATAAAATATTTCTCATAATACTACAGAATCGATTGTACTAGAAAAAATATTCTGTCACTATTTTTATACTGTATATGTTATTGTAAATCATATAACGCATTTTTGTCTTTTCTTAACTTACTAACGTCGGAGATAGAGAAGAGACTGTTCATGATTTACTCTACTATACCCAGAGGCTAACGACAGTATTTTTTGTAGAAATACAAACACCTTGTTTTATCTACCTTCTTCGTCCACCTTACCTAAAATCTTTTTTCTTTTCGCAATTCCTTCACTCGGTTCCAGTATATATTGCGCTCTTCACTTCACTTCTGTCAAGAAAATAATTATTTTCTCTCTAGAATTCTTTATTTTTCTGTCGTTATACACCATTTTTTTCCTTCTCAAGAAATATCTATTGAATATCCCTATCGTTATTGCACCAACTTTTTTAATATTTATTTATTTATATGTGCCGTTGGTCGCATGAAAAAAAAATGCTTTAACGCAATAAAGCTGGTTTTTGTGTACAATCTTTTTATATTTCTTTTTGTAATTTGTTCTGTGTTGGCTCTACTTGATTTTAGACTTTATCTATGACGAAATATATTCGAAAGTTTTAACTAATAGTCTACTTTTACTTCTGTTCTTATAGAGCTGATATTCGCATAATTACAGAACAAATCCACTGGTGTATGGAGTTTCCTGAAATCCTTTTTTGACATGAACCATGTAAAGGCTACGTTGCAGGTAGCATTCAAAAAGGGACCTAACCACCGCAGAACAAAGTCTATCTTGATATTGGCGTCTATCTTTTTTATATATGGGCCGGCTGATGGTACGTTTCATTTTAAATGACCATGAATATATTATTTTTATTTGTCTTATATAAAGCAACCCTGAATCCACAAAAAAGTAATCAGCTGTTTCAAGAAAAAATGTAATTGTATTGTAAATTGAAAAGTCCTGGCATATAATAATATATTTTACGTAGACCCTATGATGTTTATGATCAGCACGCGTAGCATGACAAACTCGAGAAATGCTTTGTCTACACTCATTTGTCAGTTTCTCGGGTCGAGAGTGAGATATAGTATGGGCGCACTCGAGAAAAGTGACAATTGAGTGTAGACTTTCTCGAGTTTGTCATGCTACGCGTGCAGGTTTCGGGTGTATAAAAGTGAAACATCAAACAGGTAGTAAAGTAAGAAAAGGTCGTAAGTAGACTAACTAGACGCTATTATTAAGCTTTTTTTAAAACGTCTATTGGTTTGGATCTCATACAGTTATTCATTTTTATATTCGAATGGCAGATTTCGATTGTCGCATCATCATAACATAAATTGGGTAATAGAAAAACGCATACTTTTTGCTTTCCTTTTTTGTTTTTTGCCTTCATTGTAAAGCTGCGTTTACACGCGGACAGACTCACGCCGAGAAGACCCGAAAACCGCCAAGATGAACGTAATATGTATATCCCTCATTCCTACATATTTATTCTCGCCAAGAAGTCTCGGCGGGACTTCTCGGTGTGAGTCTGTTCAGCCTATTACGGTTTACCTTCGTCTATTGGTCAACTTATAAGAACGATGTTAGTAAATCTACGTTACTGATCAATATACTAAATAATCTTATGCATTATGTTTCAGGTGAATTCGTTGTAAGGTACTTGTTTACACGGTACCGATTTAACTGGGATGCCATGAAATATAGTTTTTACACAACTTTCTACATCCTCGTTCATTTACTGGGTAAGCAAAATAATAATGGTTTACAACTTTATTTATTCTGACCACGTAAACAAGTATAATTGTGACACGAGTAACATTCACGGTTTTGAAAATTCGAATGCAAAATACTAAACAAAATAAATTTATATGCAATTCTAATGTTTCTACTGGTTAATCGATCGCGGAACTGTCATTGAAACTATTTCTATTTGGTTTTTATTCACTCGAATTTAAAAATAGTGGGCATTTTCAAACGTTCTTTTTTGAATGAAGACAAAATATTGATTAGAGAAAAAATAATTAAGTGTAGGTATCTGCTATAATTATTATCTTTTTGTTCAATTTGACATTGATTGCAATATGCATTCGACAGCAAACTGAATTTTTGAACTGAAGGTGACAAACTGAAGGTTGAAAGAAAAATCTTTGACTTCTGGTCAACATGTGAACCGAGTGATCCTATTATTTAACAAGTAAAACATAACTAAAGTTACTTTTTAACTCTATTTCAATTCACCCCAATCACCCTTGAAAATCTCAATGTGTAAAAATGTTTATTTTTTCACCTGTGAAAAAATTCATAGGCAACTAGCGCCATCTATTACGTGTTTGATGTAAGCGTGTGAAATTTTAATCCGCTCTGATTTTACCGTTGAAGGTGTTTTATTGACAGGTGCATTGATCTCTATCAGCTTATTCAGTCGAAGATGGAAGTGGGATGATTCTGTATTGGGAATAATTTCGAATGTCAGTAAATTAGTCGGAGCGCTATCGACAGGCTTAGCAAGGACCAGCTTGGAAATGTATTTAGGTATAAAATAAGTTATTTATCATTATACCAAATTAATAAGTGAAGCAAATATTTTGATTTCCTTTCTATATATTTTAGGCGGATAGAGTATGGAATTGGTAAAGTTTAAATTTATATGAAGATGTACAGTTATGTTATATATTTTATAAATATTAGGTTAACAATAAATTAACAAATTAAAGCATGAAGGGTTCTGTACAATCTTGATAGACGCAAAATATTATTTCTATTATTTATTTTAGTCTGTTTCTTTAATATTTATTGTTATAACTTCAATAGAAAAACATAATTTTTGATAAGTTTCGATTGTTTTAATATCACGGTTCATGAAATACAGCCGGATAGTTGAACAGCGGAGTCTTAGGAATAATATAACGAGTCTTACCATTCGGCGTACCCAAACAACACATCACACAAAATACCATATAAAAATAATAAGTATATTAATTATGATATAATTCTTCTTCCAGCTGTTGCAGTTGAGACGTTTAATGCTACTTCGTTCACAGCACTTAGATCACTCTCATCTAAGCTAGTTACAAGTGATGAACTAGGTAATTATATCGCTAGAGCTCTCAAGATTAGAAGTCTACCCTTCTTCGATCCTCTTAAGATAATTATTTTTAGAATCATTAACAGTTTCTCTTTGACAACATTTCTGTACTGGTTCTATCAGATTCTATAATCCCATTTATCTGTCGAAAAACTTAATTCTCTGAAACCTACTTAGGTATAACAGAGTTAACCTAAGCTCCTTTTAATGAATATTCATAAGGCATAGAAATCACTAACTATCATTATCAATTATCCAAATTCATGTAGGTATATAGTAAATATTATATCTTTATAGTATTACAACTGCAGCGTATCTTTCAAAATATACCTTTAAACATATCTATAGACGTATCTGAATTTGAGCTATCTGTGAAATGATTCTACTTTATAATTTATTCATTAGGTTTACCAGCGTTAACAGTAATAAAACATTGTTCTTACATCTAAAACATCTAATTCAATGTAATATATAATTACATAAACCATATTATTTTAAAGTAGAATCACGTATAAGAATGTAAGTCAATAAATATCCGCATGCCTTCATAACTTCAAACCTAGCTTCAAATAACTTCAAACCTAGATGTTTAAAAAATATATATATAACTAAACACAACATTATAAAAGAAAATAAGCGTATTGCTTTATAAAAACGTTTTTATATGGCTATGGCTTGATCTATAGCTTTTTTGATCAACGTAAAGCAGTAAGCAGGATAAGAACCTAAAAGCCTATGCAACCATTAATTATTAAATGTAGGTACTATATATGATTTTTAAGCACCGTCACATATTATGATCTTCTAATAAACTTCTTCTAATCTGATGCGTAAACGTCTAAGTTTATTAAAGCATGTTCGACCAAAAAAATCTAATAGTTTTCCAGTACCATATAAAAACATTTGCCACTTTTAGGTAAAATGACAGCGATGTTCAACTTGATGGAAATCGTGACGTCCCTGATCTTCGACCCGATTTACTCATGGATGTACATGATTACATTGAAGATAAATCCTGGTATCATCTATTTCGTCAGCACTGTACTCACAATACCGCCTTTAATGTTCTTCGGGTTTGTATTTGTTTGATTCTTTAAACCGGCTTCAGAAAATATATTAAATTGGATATATTACATTCCTGTCTTAGACTCAAGCTTTGTTTTCAGTATCTTTAGGCACCTACTTTTTTATTATTTAAATCCATTTTTGTCAGACATCCCAACAATTATTGTAACTATGATAGTTTTACCTTTTGGATTCAGTAAAAGTATGACCTGATTTTGACCATTTTAAGAATTATGAAGGAGTGAACTTAGACAATGCATTGCTGTCAAAGGTATTAGTTTTTTTCATAATGCAACATTTTGAAAACGTTTCAGGGTAAAGTAATATTTGATTGTACATTAGTTGGAATACCTTGAAGTGCCAAATCAACAAATAAAACCCCTTTTGGACGATTTGGTACTTTAAGGCGCTTTTTGGTAATTGGCAGTGGTCAAAGCTAGCTATAAGATTATTCTGAGGTAAGATTTATCGGTGCACTAGTAATTTATACCTCGTGCTAGTAGAAACACTTATCTCAATCACTACCAGCAATTTTTGCCGGAACCTGTTTAGAACTTGTTAGATCATGCTTTATCTATAAGCACAGATTTTCGAAATAATATTGCCGAATCCATCGTTTGTAATTTTGCCGATTTTTCACTCAAATCGCAAACAATATATTTCGTAAAACAAAAAATAAGACTTCTCATTTCCATTATTAATGATTTAGCATCCAATAATGATTATGCATCTTTTCATTTCGCAGGTGGTTTTACCTTCAACACAGAAAAGCTAGCCGAATGAAAACCGAACAACCATTAACCGATCAAAACTATAAAATGAAACAGCTTATGAGCGAAAGTGAAGTTAGAAAAAATTCATTGATCAGTAGTTTAGAATTTGTAGATGATAAACTTGTACTGTCATAGTTTAAAATATTCACTGGCTTTAGAATAATTATAATAAAACGCTTTTTCAAAATCAAAATACATTTTTCTTTGCGGCACTTTACAGTAGTCACATTAGTATATAAAGTCCTTAGAAACCGTAATAGATTGTGTTGGAATATTTTCTTCTTCGATTCCTTGTTTCCTCATTGAGGGTCTGGTCTTTTCACTCTGGGGAGCCAAATCGTTCTACTTGAGTTGTCGTTATTAGCAAATGGGCTTGCTTGAAGTCTGTGATAATATTTGACCACCAAGTCCAAGGCGCATATATAATGTTATAATTTATTTATATAGGTATTATTATTAATCATAAATATTTTCAGAAAGACATTACGTTGTCATGTACTCAATTTTACAATTGTGTAGCATCTGTGTTTGAATTAGATTTAAAGAATAAATCTGAATCCCAAGCCCTAATGCTCCTCTCTTTTATACGATCAAAATTAATCATTATAATTATTATAATTCTAGTAGTTAGCAATTATCAAACAATTCTCGCAGTAGCTATTAAAACCAATCATTCAAATTAAGATTAAAATCATAAGCTATCTTTCATATTTCAGTATTCTGTTCACTGAAACGCGCGAAATATTAATCTACAGAGCGAGTTTCTTCTGAGTGCGACATGGATTTCGGCGAAGTCGCTCTCAGGTGATTTTGACGTTCGCAGGCATCCTCACAGAGCGTAGCCGACCACTCTTTTGGCGATCTTGCAGAGAACTTGTCTCTTTGTACAGCTGTATTATGTATTAGATGACGTTACGGCTTACAGGAACACTTTTTAGCAAATCTGCATCAGTTTTTTTCCCGACGAAATAGCGAAATGACAGTTGTACGTCATTGTTTCGTTGCCACCATCACGAGAAAATATAAACAAATGAATTTACGATACAAAAATAAACTAAAAGCTAACATTCCAAGTTGAAAATCGGTAAAAAAGTAAATGACAGCCAGTAACATTTTATTTTATTTTTTGAGTAAAAAGTTTGTATAGTTGTTTGAGTAAAAAATTAGTATACAATATATAGATTAGCGATTCGCTACCCATAAAAAATATTCTACATAGCACAGTATACAATCAACTAATTTAGTCAGTCAAATATTTACCGCAAATTCAAAAATATAAACAAATGAATTTACGATACAAAAATAAACTAAAAGCTAACATTCCAAGTTGAAAATCGGTAAAAAAGTAAATGACAGCCAGTAACATTTTATTTTATTTTTTGAGTAAAAAGTTTGTTATAAAACTTTTGAACACACAAGGTTTTTGAACATCAAATAGTAGTTGCAGGGTTTTGATTAAAATTCAATCGTCACCTGAATACATTTTATATACGTATATTTATTTATATGCATTGGAAACATATTTCATACTAATATACGCTATAGATCTAATAATAATTGAGCTTCAAGACAAGCAGAGATTAGGTGTAACCTCCGAACTGCTGTATCTTTCCAACAGATGTCAATTACTTCAGTTAAAATAAAGAAAAGCATGTTGCGTAGTGCTATCTCTTTGAAACGTGTTTACCAAGGCTTGAGATGTTACTTGACTAGTTAGAAAGTGAGAGAAATTATGGTAAACACATGTCTCGCTCTATTCGCGTATGCATGATAAGCACCAAAAGATAGTAAAGTGGAAAATAATTCGAGATTCTTTAAAGCTGTACTATATTCTTAAGTCAGTAGGAAGAGACGGATAGTTTATCGCACATACTTTTATCCAGTAGACGAGAATTTTAAAGTAAGAGCTGTTAATAGGCTAATAATAATATTATTCTAACTATTGACATTTGTTACCTCATTCAAATTCTTGTTTATTTGGTAAAAATGTCTGCTTAAATTATGGCATATTTATAGATTTTTTTAAGCTTTATTCCGCAAGTAAAAATTTACAAAAGGCAGACTTAATGCCATGAGGCATTTTCCACTAATCAACTGAAGAGTTGTAGCAGAGAACTTTGAAAACAAAAACATTAACCGCGTAACATTTCTACGTAGAGGCTCTATGTTTACAACAGTCCCGTATTGTCATCTAAAAAATAAAATCTTATTTTAGCTGTTGAAAGATTTATTATTGAAGAGGCAGCGAATAAAATTTGTCGTATCTGTATACAAGGACCTAAGAACGCTTATTTAATAATTGATACTAAAACTTTTTAGTCTCATCCACAGAACAGAAAAAAGAGGTTTCATGTCTAAAATATTTTTTCTTAGCTCTTCCGAAGAAACATACAGTTGAGCGACAAAAAATAATAAAAAAAAACTATGAACGCTGAAATCTTAACAACAAATAATTCCGGCATCATTGCGTTATACCTATATACTCAAATGTACACACGGCCGCACGTCAACTCACCACAATATATCAAATTTCTCAACGGATATTACGCTTCAATATGTTAATATTTAAAATCGAGTATGGAAATTTGTCAGTTTTGTATAGTCTGACTTGAAGGTGACTGTACTACTTATTAAATATAGTTAAATTTATTACGTTTGTATCAGCATACAAATATAAGAAGTACTTGTGGTAAGCAAACAAAGTTATCATACATCAAACTTAATACAGTGGCTCTGTAAATGTCTCGAGCAAATAATAATTACTCTATTATTTAATTATAACACGATAAGAGTTACAGGATGATGTTTCTACAAATTTAACTTTATCAATTACTATATGTTTTCTCCGACTTTGCCTTTCACATGTACACGTTATAGCTTTCCCTAGGCAAAAGAATTTTGAAAATCGGACCAGTATGTAGTTTTAATTTTAGAAAAAAAAAAACAAATCTTTTACCCTTATAAGATGATGATTACAGGTTGAATTTTTGAAAATCTTATCTAAATAAACCTATTATTGTACATAATTATAGTTGTAAGTGTGCCAAATTTCAGGTAGATGTAATAGTTCGAGTTGTCGACGAGATTAGGTACAAAAAGGTAATGTTGAGGAAAGATTTGTAGGTTTGCATCGAATAGGCCCCGAAACTTTTGGACTGACTTAAAAATTCTTTTACCTACGAGAAGATACATCATATGTGAGTAACATTAGGTATATAAACACGGGCCTTTGCCCGTTTTCATAAGAAATCAGTTAGTATACAATATAAAGATTAGTGAATCGTTACCCATAATAAGTAATCTACATAGCAGAGTATACAATCAACTAATTTAGTCAGTCAAACATTTACCGCAAATTCTAATTTATCATATAGGTTGTGCCCACTGCCCCCTTTTTCTATTTGGAAGTTCAAAACGTTCTAACAAACGCAGACAAATTAATTTACCGTGAACGGATTTCAAAATGTTTCATTATGGCAGAATTAATTGCGTTAACTGTTATGATGTATCACAGTTTTACTTCGTCGTAACTCTCAGTGGCCATAACTAGTTTATAATCTTAAAATGGCCATAACCGGGTATTTTCTTTTAAGTTTATCATTTTCTGGTAAAAAGACGTGACGAGAAGGAATTTAGTAATGAGTGTAGGTATATTTATTTTAAAATCAATAAGTAATAACAAATATGAAAGTGAGTAACTTATGTTAAATCACTCACTCTATTATTATTTATTTCAAATTAAAATTAAAAAAAAACATACTAGTTGATAGTCAATAACATTTAATATTCAGCAAAACATGCAGTGCATTCATGAAGAGATTATCAAAATCGTCATTGAGTAAAATACGATATCGCTATAAATATTAAATACATAGAAATATATAAAAAGAAACTTCATGCTAATGCTATCACGCAAAAAGTAGCGTCGATATTATAGTTCAATAAATTGATATATATATGTTAGCAAAATTTAATGTAACTAATATAAAAAAAATACCAAACAAAAATACTGCAATAAAAATAATAAATTCGCTTAATAATTTTGAGCAAGCCCTATACATTAAATATAAAATTGATTAGAGAAGGTGATTTCAAAGCATCTTTGTGTCGGTTAGTTACGGACTAATTTCACAATAGATAAAAGTATGTCTGACGCAGATATATATCCTGAAGAGATACCTTTTACTGAGAAGGAAGGGAAACCAAAATTAAATGAGAAATCCTTTTTTTCAAAATTATGGGATATAAGATCAAATATTACTGTCGAACCTGTATTGGCTGGGCTAATTATTCCTTCTATGTTATCAAAGCTCGCAATTCAAAATTTGAACTTGGATAAAGCATGCCGTGTGAAATTGGATTATGGAGACACTATATGTGATGCTTTAATAGACAGATCTGGAAATTATTCAGAAGAAGAGGTGAATGTCCAAAGAGTTATCTCCAACATAGAAGCATGGAAGAGTGTTGTTCAAACTGCTATACCGACTCTACTCGTTATATTTATGGGAGCATGGAGCGATAGGAAAGGGAACAGAAAAGTCTGCATTATCTTACCACTCATCGGCGAATTCATGGTCTGCATTAGCAATATTATAAACGTTTTTTTCTTTTACGAAATCTCTGTAGAAGTCACTATGTTTTTAGAAGCTTTCTTCCAAGCCATATCTGGTGGATGGGTAATGATATACTTGGGAGTTTTCAGTTATATTAGTGACGTTACCAATGAGGAAACAAGAACATTCAGAGTTGGTCTTGTTAATTTATGTATGACAGCCGGAATACCCATAGGCACAGCTCTAAGTGGAATTTTGTTAAAATTGTGGGGCTACTATGGAATATTCGCAGCTTCAGCCGCAATTTACGTTGCAACGATTATTTATTCGTGTATGTGTTTGGAAAGCAAAACAAAAAACAATCATAGTAATGAAAAGGTATGTAAACAGTCAATGATACTTACTTTAAAAGTCGTAAAATACGGTATTGATTTTAAAAAATAAGAATTATTTTAGTATTAACTGATAACAACAATTAAAATTCTTTTAAGCTTAATTATAAATAGCTATATACGAAGTAACCAACTCAATTGATAATTCATTAATTATACTCTTAATGAAAAATACTTAAAAAATCCACTTTGTCCCTGGCACTCTGAAATGGGACTCGAACCGCGACAGATCTAAAGTTAATTGCAGCACAAATTTTATTTTATTTCAGGATAAATCATTGTCATGTATGGATGTAGTTAATATGGTTAAAGAAACTGTTCATGTTGCTTTCAAGAAAAGAGAAGGGAACATAAGAATGAAAATTATTATGACGCTGTTAATTGTTGGCATTGTATATGGGCCCAATCATGGTGAGCGTTCTAGTGTAATATAGTATAGTATTCCTTGTACTATTCATATATGATTCTGACTGCTAATAATGAGATTTCGTTCTGCGATGGCTTTATACGTATCCTAAAGATATTATTATCGACACTCGGTTGCAAAGGATAGCGTGTGTATCAACCATACGCATTCAGGGCATGGAAGATACAGAACTTTATAATCTAGCGAGATTCTTATGAAGACCACAGATGTTTGTGGGATGTAAAAAATTCATACACGAAAACTTGCCATATTCTGGTTATAGGTTACAAACTAGCTTTATTTCTATAGAATGTAAGAAACATGTAGCTTCTTACGGTCTAAATGAGTGCTTAGGTAAAACTGTGTGGTTTACTTGTGATGCCTCACTATGAATATTATATTTCTTGGTCTAGTGCATTGATTATTAGATCTAATTAAGCCTCCTAAAGAGATTTGTGTATATAATATTGTCATGCATTTAAATCGCATCGTTTTCTCATACAATCTTAGCCAATAAGGATCTTACATCTAGGAAGGCAAATCAAATCGAAATCTAAAACCCAACCAAATGGATAGCCAAGCCTTCTCAGTCCAATTAGATGCATTTAGTTAAATAACTGGCAGGAGAATTAATGTACAAATGCTTCAGGCATCGGTGCGGTTACGCTTTCAAAGTGGCATTGTCGCCGGTACGTGACCATGTGAGTTAGCTAACGTATCTTTGCAAGTATGAAACTGTTAGAGAAAAGAGGTTTTGAATACAACCTTCTTTCTTGACAATGATTTTATTTTTCTACTACTATCAACTACTGTTTTTGCTTGTCCTGCGTTTTTATCTGTTTCAATGTCATTAATTAATATATATTTTACAACCAAAATATATTTATTATTTGTTACAACCAATTTATTCTTCGACACTCCGCGCGCAATTATCAATGCAATTAGATGAATTGTGCCATCTAATAGAAACAAAGTCGCATCCGTTGTCTTAACGCTGAGGTCCTTTAACTACACAATGGGTTTCATACGGTTTTTATCTATATTAAGAGTGAGCCAAGAGGAAGTTTTATATGTATAATTAACGTCCACGCAGCGGAAGCCAAACTAGAAGCAAGCTAGTATTTTAATAAGAATCATTTTGCCATGCTGTAGCTATGGTGTCCTAAATAGGCTCCTAATAAATCATAATGATGTTTCGAATATACAAATATGATATTCATATTTCGGGATCTTAACATAACAGAATTTTTATTAATTTCAGGTGAAAGGATAATAATGTATATGTATGTAAGATACCGACTAAAATGGGATGCCGTAAAATATAGTATGTACTCTACATACGGGATTATCACTCATTCTCTAGGTAAAAGAATAATTTTATTATTTAATAAAATGTTAAGTGGCAGATGCATTTTACATAGTGTTGACTTAAACCATTTTTCTATTCAGTCTCCAAGCAATACGACTACTTTGAAAGCAAACTCAAAATATTATATGATGGCGCCTAACATATATTCATGGTGAACTAGTGAAATAATATAATAGTATTCTTTTCTAGATTTAAAAACGATATTCTTTATTAAATTATTTAGCAGATAACATCTTAAATTGAACGCTGACTTCTGAATTTAATAAATTTATTATTATATTTGATCAATTTTACATTCATATATATACTGAAAAATAGTTTTAATGAAATATGATTAAAAAATCCACTTTGTCCCTGGCACTGAGGAATTTTCCAAGCCTTTTTTCGCTACTACAGAGCGTATTTTCATCAATGTTCAGGCAATCAAACAAGTGCTTGAAAAATTCGCCAGTCCTGTTAGATCCTGTGTAGTTCAGTGGTTAGAGCAGTCGCCTGAATTGCGAAAGTTCATGGGTTCGAGTCCCATCTCAGAGTGTCAGGGATAAAGTGGATTTTTTAAGAACTTTTCATTAATAAACTTATGTCTTTCTGAGACATAAGTCAGTTCCTGCAGTATGTAGAACGCTTTACATAACAGTTTTATATTTTTAATGTTTTGCGCGTAACTAATTAGATCTTGTTAACAGACGTTGGTTTCATCTAATTTTCTCCTTTTGTCTTTATACTTTACATAAATTCTGTTGACGGCGGATTGAATTGAAATATTCAATACCGTATCGAATATTGAATGCTAATGAGTGTCTGAAAATGTGAAATAACATTGAGTATACATGCTGTTTCAAATTATACAGTATTGAACGTTGAATGCATTTTTATTCATTCGATGACAATGGAACCAATATGTGTAGTTCAGTAAGTTCCAAGTAATATAGCACATGGTGAATTTTTATTCACGCAGATTAGTAGACCTTTTGATATGAAAGAAACTAAGATTGTTCATCTTTGGCGCCAAATTAACTTTGCTGCTCCTTAAAAATCAGCCTCTAATACAATTTCGAGTTGAACGCTATCATAATTTAGAGGTTTAATACGAATAACACATACTGCAAAAGGTTAAAAAATATATACATTTCATTGACCATCTATGGTTCGTCTATAACACTGCATTCGTTTTTGTTTTTAAATTGCAAAACGGCATAGCAGCTTAGCTTAGTTTATCATAAATTTAAGGGTATTTTTTGTTTATTTTAAAAATTTCTTAAATTGGAACAACTTTTAAACTATTTTATATTTAGTTTTATTGACGTTTCGGACCCTTGACAGGTTCCGTGTTCAACATAAGATTTGGATAGTGCACGTGAAAATATAAGAAATCAATATGACTCTTCTTTATGATATAATTTGCGGTACCAGAATGTTTTGTTGATATTTCTTTGAATACGACCACTAATGTTACTTATTCCAGGTGCTATGTTCTCTATCACCGTGTTCAGTAAGAAGTTGGGCTATCACGACACAGTTCTTTGTCTCATCTCCATTGTCAGTAAACTTATCGGTTCGGTTTACATCGCCTTCGTTTATACGGACCTACAAATGTTCATGGGTAATTTTGGTTTCAATATGTTATTTATCATTTTAAAATGTATTTCCAAAGGGGTGTTTTCACACACTTACACCCAGTTTGACGTCCATTACGATTGTCATAGTATCAGCGATTTAACGTGACATTACCGATATAAATTTTTGAATTTAGATCTTTCATTAGAGCTTAGTTATCATTAAAGCTAAATTAACGGACGTTTGTGCTTAATTAACGGAATTTGTATACCTAGATTATAAAGATATTTCGGAACCATTTCTTTACAAACAAAGATACCGGAGAGTGGGGAATAGTAGTCAACAATAATATGAAACATATTATGATAGTCGATAAGTCACGTGTCCCTCATTACCCCAGTGAAGTCACACAATTACCCAAATTACCTTTACGACATTTTTAAAACAAAAAGTAGCGACACATACTATTAACAATTGAATGCAATGCTAACCTTTTTATATACTTCAAGTAATTAACTTTATGAGTGCACATAACTATACAATTTAAAAAAATAGAAGATAGTACTAATAAAATATCAGTCGACTTTGGAATTAATACAGTCGGTTACTACATATGACAAAATAAACCAAGCAAGATGAATTATGAAGAATTCGCTAGTCAAGTTATATCAGCCAATGTAGTTATCCACAATTACCCACTGTCCATAATGACCAGCTCTTTTTTTATTTATATATAATGGGCTCACATTTCTTTCTAATCGAACGCAATAATCTAGTATAAGGACATGAATGAGACCTACGGTCGGACGAGCTTGCCCAGAAGGAACCTATTCACTATTGCCTTGAGTAGGTCTGGGTTATAAGCACTCGGGAATATAGATGCCGGTAGAAAGTTCCACTCAATCCGGTAATAAACCAAACCAAATGGATTTATATATTCATTTCATTTTATTTATTCAAAATATAATAATGTAACATTGAAAATGTCTATATTCTTTTTTTTACTTATTATATTCATCAATAAAAAATATAAATAATGGAATCAGAATATATAAAATGAAACCGTGAAGTTTTACCTTAATTAATGAATAAAGACGACTAAAATAGCATTTAGATATTACTCAATCAGCTAAGGATAATAATAAAAGTAATTTATAACCATCATAACATGTGCTCATTATGTTTTGTATTATAAAAAAACCGCTTTATCATTGAAACATATAATGTCTTATCAAATGTTAATAATATCTGCACGTTAGTCTATAAAGATTACTATGATATGAATTTACTTTAATTATTTTTAAGATGTCTTTCAAAACGATAATGCGTAATTCGATAAGCGATATTCAAGCACAATCAACGGCACATTGGGTTATACAGAACAGTCACATGTCAGCAAACAATTAAAGCTTTACTTAGTTACAAATAAAGTTGAGAATCGTATGTGAAATATCAACTTTTTTTTATTCTTCAATCGTTTCTTTGTCGCTATTTTTACATGATTAGCTGTCTTTTTGATATTATTGTATTTTATGTTGTTTTTTTCCTTTAGTACCGGTAATAGAGATCCTCAACGCAACGACATTCACATCCTTGAGATCGTTGGCATCAAAATTAGTTCCCAGTGAGGAACTGGGTAAGTGGCTATAGAATAATATATTATTAGACCCCTACGACCGGTTTCTGAATAGACAACAGTACAAAATCTCAATTGATTATTCTCAATAATTTAAGTTTTTTACGTTTCAAAAGTCAAAAAGTAGTATTATCAAACTTCTATCAACTAATATAAAAACTAAAATCAACTGATATAAAAACTAAAATCAACTGATATAAAAACTAAAATCAGAAATGAAAACCTGTTTACGTGACGTTTAAAAACAGTTTAACACATGCTTAACTTTTGAATTAACACATGCTTATTCAGAAAAAGGGTGATAATCTACAAAATTAAAATTACCGGGCCTCCATCTTTTACGACATCTTTAGTATATATGTGTGTATATAGACAATTTACCTGCTTAACCATTAATGTTTTTCGTAATGACAGGGATTTTTCAATGCACCATAGACTACCCAATTTTTCAGTTGTATCCTGTATAATGTTAAGGTTGCCTGAAAGAAATTTCTTTTTAGCAATAAGGCCACCAATTGTAGTGTCTGTTTCATTATTATGTACTGTTCATTTACTTATGGTGGGTACAATAAAGAGGCTTTCATTAATTCAATTAATTATTCAATCATTCATGCATATTTTATATAATGATATTGTTACAATGTTTTTAAAGCCAAATAGCCCTTTTACGTAACATTTCATCCCTTGTCAAACGGACTTTTTTATAATTACTTGTAGCGTACATGGGTTAATAGGTATATACATTACGTTAGGGATCGGATTTCCAATGCTACACCCACGTGTTGTACGTAAAATTTTATAGACAACCTTTCATCCCTCCAAATGGGAGCCATTTTGAAATTCATATTTTTTTTCGACTTCATTAATACTTGTCTTTTTATTATTTTATAATCTCCACATACACGAAAGGTATTATAGATGTCAGCTTATTTTTAGAGTAATAAATAAGAAAAGTACAATAAAAAATACCATAATTGGACTCGGTTAATAATCATCATTGTTATCTAAATACGTATCTATTTAGTTGTGCAATCAACTTCAAGACCTGATTCTTTATTGTCTAATTTTAAAATCTATCGCGAAACCTTTCAATTTGACATTTGGAAGATATTCACGCTACAACGCGCGATTACAATCTCGAGGTTTTTTACAAATATTGAACAGCCTATATCGTTAATTTGACGTTAATTGGAATTGTCTAAGGCAAGCGTTTGACGCAAATATTTAAATTACTAAATTTAAGTTTCTTGATCATTCAAATCATTCGTTCCGAAAGCAATTGTGACTTTTAAACGTTACACAATTTCATAAATCGCTATCATAACTGATGTACCTTTGAGAGAGATTGCAATAGGTTTTAAAAATAAGACCATTAGGACACCGTTCTCTTTACTCCGACCTCTGATCTAACGGGGTTTAGTAAGGAGTCTTCTCCTTACTAAATCGCTTAAGCTCCGCAATCTCAAACCGGGTCACTTATTACTACACTATAGTACTTCTCTTGAATACAAAGCTTCCTATTAATCCCAAATCTCAATAACCCGATCCTTTCAGCCTGTATTTTCATGTATAAAATAGAAAATCTTCACCAACCATATTCCAAAAATCTATTTGACCTTGTTCGAATTGAATGACCAGTTGTTATTTTTCTGAAGGCTCATTATTATTGGATATAAATGGCTCATTTGCATTGGTCTATGATGTTTGTATTCGGGATGCCAGCAATTTCTATAGTTCGCTTTCATTGGTCGATCATTATTTTATTGACTAAACTGAGCCATAAGTGAACTGAACTGAGTTTGAATATATTATGCGAAGACTTCTCAATTGCGGGACGACTAATAAAAGTCATATATCAAAAATAGCAACAAATACCACAATATATCTGCAACAATAATTTTCTCCAGAACTCCTAATGTGAGCCTTATAGATGTCACATATTTATATTGGTTGGTGGGTGGATGCACATGCACAACTGGTCTTGCAGATAGTGACTGAGTGTAGTAGTGCCTAGATATCGTATTTTCATAGTTAGGGCAGAAGACCAGGTTTTGCTCACAGCCCTCTTTTTGCCCTTTGAAACGTCAATTCGTTCTAACTAACAAGCAAATACAAATATTACTTTATTGTGATCTGTTTTAAAAATATTGCAATTTGACCAAACTAATACCACCACAGGGTTCACAAGTTTGACAGGTCAAATTTCATTTCCTCGTAACTCTTAATATAGCTAAAACTAGAACATTATCACAAAATGGCCAATACCTGTTCATCTGCCATCTGTAAATACTCAGCTTTTAAACTTTAATTGTGTTCCTAGGAAAAATGAACTCCTTATTCAGTTTGGTGGAGACGCTTGGGGCACTTATGTTCGATCCAACGTACTCTGCCATGTACTCCAGGACCTTGCAAGTCTTCAGTGGGGCTGTCTTTATCTACAGTGCATTCTTGACGCTACCGCCCATCGCTATGTTAATGTAAGTATTTCATTTCATTAACATAAAAATATTTATTTAACTAATGTAAACATATTGCAGTTTGGTTAGTTATAATCATATTGCAATTGAGAATGACGATTCTAGATAAGCTTTCAGCATTATCTACTTAAGTAAGGTACCATATTCTATAAGTAGGATCTTTACTAATATAATTCCCAATACTTAATAATACTAAGAAGCTTGATGGAGTAGTGAATAAGCTCCGTGGCCCGCAAACGTTGTTGTTAAGCAGCTTTCGCAAGGATCGGTCACGGGATGGGTGACCTAAATCTCATTATCTCGAAGTACTACGTGCTTCGGAATGCACGGTAAGTCGTTGGTCCCGGCTGCATTTGCAATCGTTAATACCCTCCAATCCGCATTAGCCCAGCGTGAAGGGTCATGGCCCATTCTCCTTCACTATACATAAGGCAGTCTTAAGAACCTGCAGTGGGGACGTTAAAAGGCTGATGATGATGAAGAATAACACATCCAAAGTGGAAAAAGAATACAAATATTAAAAACTAGTGGACGCCCGCGACTTCGTCCGCGTGGAAGTCGGTATCCCGTGGGAGTGAGAAGTTTTCCCAGTAAAAAGTACCCTATGTGTTATTCTGATGTATAACCTATATTGCTGTAAAGTTTTATCCAAATCCGTCCAGTAGTTTTTTCGTGAAAGAGTAACAAACATCCATACATCCATACTTACAAACTTTCGCCTTTATAATATTAATAGGATTACAATGCATAGATGATGGCACAGTTTGTAAGTGCGATGCAGGTTTCATACATTGCATTTTTAATGTGAAATACGAATAGACTCCGTCGATTATTGATATGTAAATAGTGGAATCGACGTCATTAATTCTGCATTGCAAAAAAGAAAAAACGAAAATATTGTAATACAAAAACTCATTAATTAGTAGTTTATATTATCTACCGGTAGCCATAATACAATCACAAAATCCTAATCATGTTTATTACTCGTAATATCAGAATAAAATGAACAACGATATCAAGACTGTAATACAATTAATTCCTGGGTTGTATGTAATGTAACAATATTTTTAAAAATGATATCATCTAATTTGATTATTTAATTTGTACTATCAGTTTTTTAACGGCTTCTTCCGCGTCACCAAAGGTAAAATAACCAACAAGTTTCTTGCAGTAAAACGTATCCTTGCGGTAATTCTCCTTTTTTAACTCTTCACACAAAAAATATACTTTTTTATTATACATATTAGATAATTGGCACAGACTCCATTATCATCACCAAGCTATGATCTACTAGGCAAGCCCAGTGCGGGTTGGTAGATGGCGAATGTAGATGCAGCCAAAAACAACAGCTTAAATGACCTGCATTCCAAAGCACGGAGTCGTTCTAATATTTTTTTTTTTTTGCGAAGGTTGCTTAATTTCTGCATTATAAACGGAACATGCTGACCACTGCGCCATCGAGTTTCTCTTTGCTGCCTGACACTTTATTGCTTACACATATATCTATGTCAGCGGTCCACCTTCCATCCCTGTTAAAAACACATCCAAAATATACAATATTCACTTAATCCATTAATCCTGATCCTTACATTCGTTCTGGTTTAATTCTAATTGTTTTAACGTAAAATCTTCTTTCATCATTTATTCCTTGATTTATTTTATTTCTTCCCTTGGTTTCCTACAATCTAATCAAATTTGACTATCACTCTCCTTTTAAATATTTTACAGCCTTATAGTTGCAGTGACGTAGTTTATACGTGAATATTTGACTTTATGCGATTTCAAGATTGTGTAGATGAGAACAATGAAATTCACAATAATATCAAAAGAGCACATACGCAAGAAAGTTTCAGAATAAACAAGAAGTGGCTATTTATAAGACACGTAATTTGTTTGATAAATTTATATATACACTGAGGGCCTCGAAATATTTCTGAATAGCACTCGTGTATTAAATGAAATAACCGTCGAGTATATTTGAAGTGTTTTCGTGGAATTATTGGGGTTCATTATAACTTTATGTAACAACAATACACAGCCATGTTTGGAAATATAAATGTAACAAAAGAACATTAAACTATTTCAACAGGTTCTCAATTCAAAAGCGTAAAGAAACATATCCTTATCTAATAAAATAAAAAATGAAATCTTTCCTCTTTATAATATGAATTTAGATGAGATTTACGCGCAGAGCCATTACTCCGCCGACCTCCGTGCTGACCCCATCGATCAGTTCAGACCAGTTTCAGTGCATGAATTCCTATATAGTGTATGTAACTCTAAATCAAATTAATTGAAATATAAGAATGTTCATATTTGCGAATTTTGTTTACAGTTGCCTGTTTATACAACACCGTCGGGAAACAAGGTTGAGACAATCAGAAGCAGAATCAGATGAAAAATGTCATTGAATTTTAGAAATACTTTTTATACTATTGTTCTGTAGTTTTATTTTCCTTTGTTGTAGTTACAAATCTATATATATTTATTTTCACGCCACTTCCCTTTAAGGGTAGTTAAAGAGAGGA